TTGGCATGTTCCTCATAAACAGACGACTGGCATAAACATCAAATAGAACTTCAAAAAAATTTTTTTTTCTGTGCCAGCAATATAAAAAAAGTCAACTTTAAAATCATTTAAGCCTTTTTTAATGTAGTCTGTGAAATGAAGGCATTCTAAGAGCTATGCCTCAATAAATAAATAAAAAAACACAAAGAAACAAGAAAAGCAGGTATGCATGTATGATTCTCCATTTGCATTTTTCTTATGATGATTTACAGTGTTTTAGATTAATTTAGTGGCATCCAAGCGCCACAACAACACACAACATGGATTTGTGTTGTGTAAAACGGAATAATTGACTTTGTGTGTGCATGCATTTTTGCAAAGGTTAACCCCCCAGACACTTCTAAGCTTACTGTTCTGACGGATGCCAAAAGCTCAACCTCACCCCCAGGCATTTTTTTAGTTTAAAGACAATCTTCGCAAGTGATTATTTGAGCAAAATCAGTTAGCAAACCACCATCAGATTCATGTCTGAGGAGGTTTACTTTGAATCTACTGGAGACAAGAAAGAGGGGTGTTCATACAAATGTTGCTTTTAAAAAAATGACCGTACCAACCTGACTGGGTGCGGGAATACAGCCAATATGTGAGCTACAGGGACATTTAAAAAAAAAACAAATGTTGCCCATGTCAATCATAAGATCGAGCAAGGTGTTAGACGGCTAAAGTCTTATTCGCTGAGGGATCTACAATTTGTAAGAAGGCCACAGGAAAATCAGAACTAGGAACAATCAATGCAATCTCTTGGCACTTCAAAGGTACATTCAAGACAATTACAGTTATATTTTTGGTTATGTGATCACAATCCACCAATTGTATACAACTGATTACATTCCATGCTGGCCATTTAAATAAAAACGCTGTCTTGCTCAGGAAACCAGCAGATTGCACTAAAACTCCACTTTTGCTTAAATTTTCTATCCGGCAAAAGCAAAGGTTTTCCCGATACATGCACCTTAACTAGGGCAACACGTTTTGGGGAGATTAGTGGAGTGAAAACCACAAAGATTTATCTATATGTACTGTTATAAACTTGTTTTTGTCAAAAAATGATGGCCAGTAAGGTATTATTTTACTTTTATTTGTGTTCAAATCTATTTTATCATTTGCGTTTTGATAAGTTTTTGGGAGATGCTACTGCTCTTGATTTTTCTTTTTAATGTTACACACAACTTTAGTGCAACACATAAAACACATAAAGCAATTACAGAAACACATGGTAAACCCTTTGAGAAATGTCTAAATCCACTAAAATAATATAGGAATCAAACGCAGCATGAAAAGAGAAACAAAAGTATCACAAAAGGACCATTTTATTATTTTTTAACACATCTGTTAATATATTATTTTGCAATATATACCTATATTTATATTTTTACAGAGAACACAAGCTACTACATAATTCATACAATATGATCAGCAACATATAAAAATAGTACAGTCGTATTGGCACAGATGAAGTTGTTTTTATGGTCATTTTCATGTTATAGAAAAAAAATCATTACACACATGTCCCTCACAGTGACGTTTTTCTTTTACATTCAGTTCAAACATATGGAAGGTGACACAGCAATAAGAGGGTATCATTAACGCTCCTCACACACACACACACACACACACACACACACACACGCATCGTCCAGTAAAGGCCGACAAAATACGAAAAAGGTTCAAGTTTGCAAGTTCGGAGGGATTGTGGCGGGTCAGATGACCTGGTGGGTTTATGGAATGTCTCTGACAAAAGGACTCTTAACACTCTCAGAGACATATTTACTCAAACGGAACTGTTTCTCTGCATGCATGCGGGCTGATGTGAAGATCTGTGTAACTTTTCACAGGACACCAATCCCACTCAGAAAGATGGCAATATCTCTCATGTACCTTTTCCCTTCCATTGATTCCTATCAGGTAAACAAACAGGACATACAACAACATTTTCCATTCGGGATGAAAAAAAAAATTCGGTAACTATCTTCCTAACTGACAAAAGGAAAAGCCAATAAGCTGGAGACTGTTTGGTACACAGTGTGTGACTCAGGGGGGGTGGGAGTTGCAAAATGATGCGTGATGGATGACAGTCCGGCAGAATGCTTATGCAGCTTTATGAGAACGGTCTCCTGCTTCCTAAAGGAGCCCGTTTGATTCGAGTCAATCACCGTGGAACTCTGCTTACCGTGCAGCTCCACGGCAGCAGCTCTGACGCGGAGAAAGAGCACTTTTCTATCTCAGACAGCACGATTTGAAGGGGATACAATGCTTGAATGGGTGAGACGGACAGCCGAGTTAAGTTCTCTGAATACGTGCAGGACGCAACCTTCCAATCAAAGAAGCAGTGCATTTTCCAACAACAAAAATAACAGCAACAAAAGAAAAAAGAGGTTTGAACTTTTTAAAGCCAGTGGAGGTTGGTTCAAGGTTTTTCGATAAAGTGCACTTGTCTACAAACCAGTGCAAAGGTTAAAATATAGCTCTCTGTATGTACATAACTACATGTGCAGCAGGTGCACGGCCACTGCTGGATACCACGCGTTTAGGACGGTTCTCTGAGATGAAAACAGTTACAATTTGCTCGTGACAGCAGAGGATGTAGTAAACATGTTTAAAAAGTATTCCTGATTCTGCATGAGATGGTCGGCATCTGACATCCAAACTTTGTCATGAATCCCGATGGGTAAATTAACGTTATGCGCTGGGGAGTGTTAAAGGCCCACTTACTTTTCTTTATGATAAAATACAATTATCTGAATAAACAATGAGGTTCAAAGATAATTTAATAAGGTTTAAGTGGTAAAAATGGACCTAAATATTAAAGTGTTTATAGTCTTTATGTATTACATGTTATGGAAGCCACATTAATACTTGGGGCATTAAAATAATAGCAAATGGGTTGTAAGAATATTTAGTTTTATAAAGATAAACTTTAGATTAGATCAGTTCAAACTTCCAAGTATTCCATCGATCGTTAATCTAAAAGTAATTGTTAATAGTTTTGATGAACTCTGAAGCACTGAAGACCTTTGGAGTGGTTATAACAACGAGTAAGATGAGCTAATGGCATAATATTATAATGCCGTGTGGTTGAGAAGTTGCAACTTTTGAATGGGAGGCTGTTTTTGGGGCCAACATTTTGTGGCCATCAGTGGTATTGCATTTTAAGGCACTTCCTCATTGCCTTGACTTGATGACTGTGACCTTTTTTTGTCTTTTTGGACTTAATCAGGTCTAATACTAACAACTAATTAAAGTAGGACTCATCTCATCACGGCCCGTCCAGTAGAAGCCTTTCAGAAATGTACTTTACACTGTTGGATCATTTGAAATCTTTGCTAAAATCCTCCCACCAAAAAAGTTGCCAATTTATAGATTTGTAGAGCTAGCAGGCCTGAAAACCCCTCTCAAGTGTTAGAACTTCTGATATGTTGAAAACATTCCAAAACCATAGACATGAACAAGAGTTTAAACAATGCAGGAAATATAACCAAACTATCTTACATTTGGCCTCAGGGTCACAGCATGGAGTATCAAATGTAAAGCTAAGCTAAGCTAATGTACCATCATTTACACTAAGCTAGAAAAGATGGAAGCTAAGCTAGGAAACGTGGAGATTTTCATGTCAAAATTCTCAGATCTTTTTTCACCTTTGCCTTTCTTCTACCGGGAAACAAAACAAACAAAAAAAACTTGCAAAATCAAACATCAAACTAACAATAAATAAATTGCTTGTACCTCCACACAAGTACCAGATATCGCTCAATTGGTTTAGCAATAATAACTAAGCAGGGCTGGGTTTATCAAGAGCTTAATTCCTGATGTTAGTCAGCTTAAACAACATTCCTTTGCCGTATCATGCTAACATAAGTAGCTTATTAAAGATAGTCAATACACGGTTTTGATTACGTCTGACCGTTCGTCTACCACAAGAATGCGACTGGCCAATCTGACAGTTAAACATGAGGGAGCGTACAATAGTGACAGATTATATTAAACCGTAGGCTACATGGGGTCACACCTCTGCCCGCTCTGGACAACACCGTAACAACCTTCGTTACATGGATTTGACAACAGGACACATAAGTTCACATTTAGAATGGACTAATTACACTGGAGATGCATAAAAATAAATTATTTCAAATGATAGATTTCTTTTTGTATAAAGGAACAGCTATGTTTCGTTTAGTTTCGTTTCTTACAACCGACTCATTTACAATCCAGGGATAGATTTTGCACGTGCACCAGGATTACTCAAAGAGAACTTCTGCTTAAAGGAGAACTCAGTCAACCCTTGACGGCGAGAGCTCTAAAGGGAAAGTAGGTGGATGCTTTGAACCGCGGTGAGCGTCCAATCCCGTTCAGGCTGAAAATGTACTCACAATGTAGGCAAAACACCTGCATCATGAGATGTTTCGTCTCGCATGGCTACAAGTCAAACTCAGACTCAGAGTTTGCAATTTAAACAGTCAAAACGCACTAGTCCTTTAAGAACAACTGCTAACAATCCTACTGAGTGGGATGCAAATGTCTGGCCTTATAGTACTCCAGGGCATACACATATATACAGGACTGTCTCAGAAAATTAGAATATTGTGATAAAGTTCTTTATTTTCTGTAATGCAATTAAAAAACATGAAATGTCATACATTCTGGATTCATTACAAATCAACTGAAATATCGCAAGCCTTTTATTGTTTTAATATAGCCGATTATGGCTTACAGCTTAAGAAACCCAAATATCCTATCTCAAAATATTAGAATATCGGATTTTTGAGTTTTCTTCAGCTGTACGCCATAATTAGCTATATTAAAACAATAAAAGGCTTGCGATATTTCAGTTGATTTGTAATGAATCCAGAATGTATGACATTTCATGATTTGTAATTGCATTACAGAAAATGAACTTTATCACCATATTCTAATTTTCTGAGACAGTCCTGTATATATATATATATGTGTGTGTGTAGATATATATCTACATATATATTTATACATACACACATGTATGTATACGTATAAATTTAAATGATAGGGAGGTTCTCATTTTTCAGATTCAGAGTCTGCCTACAACAATCAGCCTCTGTCCGGTGGGCCTGCAGCTCTAGCACCTTTATTTGAAGTAGTCCAGTCCCGCGACTAAGAAGAACTTCTCCAGGAAGAGCTCAGAGTCCAGGACGGCGATGTGGGCGGCGCGGCCGATCAGCGTGTTGGCCGTGTTGGGCAGAGCGTGGAAGACGTTCTGGCGGATCAGCCGGCACTCTTTAGCCTCCACCAGAGGCTGCAGGAGGTTGTTGATCATCTCCGTGTACACGGGGCCTGCAGGGGGAAAATGAGGAACATCCCAAAAGATGGACAAGATTAAACCTAGCAGGCAAAATGGCCGTCTGCATGAAAGTGTGATAGTAGTGATTAATGATCCAGTCACTGATAAACAGGGAAAGGGGGTCAGAAGGCAACCAAATAACTCCAAATCTGCTGTGTAACACTGATGAAAATCAGTGTTTCCCTGCTATAGTCTTTTTTAGAGGATAGACAGTGAATATTTAGATAAAACGTACATTTTGAGACTGCGGTTAGTTCATGATTCTGAATAAAATAGAGACTTCCAACCTGTGCTTCTGTCCTTGAGGGCAGTCTTGCACATCTCTATTCGGGCAGAGTGGAAGGGAACGTATCGGTCCTGAGGAGACGCGACCAGCACCACGTTCTTGAAGAACTGCAGCCCTGAAAGAGCACAAAACCAGCCCGTAAATGCGCCTGCAGACTGTGTGAGATATAAAGAAACAGAAGGACATGCAGAGGCTCCAAGACAGAGGACGGGAGAGAATCAGTTGTTCGACATAATGAAGAGATTGATATAACAATCCTGTGTGTTGTAAAAAAAATAAATAATTGCGTTCGATCTACTGTCTGTGTGTTTTTACAAGAGTTAGGGTTAGGGTTAGGGTTAGGGTTAGGACAGTGTTTGGATCTTTCTGTCAGACTGCCACAGCTCTATGGGAGGCAAGAAAACCAGCATTTTCAAGCTCATCTCCTAATGCCTGTGTGACAAACGGCTGCTTTTTTCCATTCTAACAGTGGGGGTGGGGGCGGTTACACTCTACTGGGACGGGATGGTTTTGCTTTTTCCTTTCCTGACTGGTGCCAGCGCAGCGGTTTAGCTGGGGATGCTTTGGCGTGGTACCTGGTTTCTGACTGAGCAGGTAGAGGAATGTTTTCCGCAGGTCGACGTGATCTCGGAAGGTGAGCTGCAGCAGGGACCCCGACTTCTTCAGCTTCTGCATCAACCACAGACCTGAGAGGGGCACAAACGCGCACGGTCAGGGCCTCCACGGTCAGGGCCTCCACGGTCAGGGCGTCCACGGCGGGGCCTCACCGGTGCTGACCAGCGCGCTGCTGTTGTACAGCGTTCCCAGGTGCGGGCCGGACAGCGACAGGAAGGTGTGCAGCTTGGGCAGGTAGCAGCGGAAGCGAGGCCTGGTCAGCACGGAGCGGATGATGACGTTCCCCAGGGAGTGGCCGATGAAGCTGTGAGTGGGAGAAGAAATTAATCTCAGTGAGAGAGACTTTCAGCACGAACAGGCAGCTGAGAAAAAAAGAAAAGCCTAAAGAAAAATCTGAATCAGAAATAATTTAATAATCCCAGAGGGAACTTATTTTGTTACTAACTCCAGAGATAAAACAACAGTATATACATATGTACATGTCTAAACATATATATACACATATATCTAAACATATATATATATATATATATATATATATATGTGTTTAGACATGTACATATGTATATGCTGTTGTTATTGACATTACTAAATTATTGACATTATCACAATTACTTATTTTTTTGTTACTTGTATATATATATATTTTGTGTACATATATATATATATATTTTGTGTATATATATATGCACAAAATTCCACAGCAAGGAATATACATAAGTAACTATATGTATATATATATATATATATATATATATATAGGTCTTAAATAAGTAGTCAATAATTTAGTTAGAATTTACAGAGAGTGTTTGACTCTCTGAGGGAGGTGTTGGTCAGATTGATGACCACTGGCAGGAATGATTTCCGGTGGCGCTCTGTGGTGAAAAAAAGGAAGAAGAGCAGCACCCCAAACGCTGCTGACCTACAGTATGGTCTGGTTACAGCATCGGCTATTCAGAGATTTCCTGCGACAACACTCGGAACTTGGACTGTTGATATTTAATAAATTTTGTAAACTCCCAACCGCACAAACCGCTTATTACCAAGTTAGAGGGCGAACAATGAGAAGTAACAGCAGCTGGAAATATTCCATTAGTTCAACTTAAGTGCGTCTTTCCATGAGTTTAATTGCAGTACTGGTGCACAGTACTTGGCCCACCGTCTCTCATCTGTCTCCGTCCAAACTAAAAATGGAAGTAATGCTGACAGAAACAGATGCTGTTGTGGCACTCCGCTGCTTTTTGCCTTTCATACTTGCCCTCTTGAGAAAACATCGGAATAACGGGGAATTCGGAAACTTGGATGCAAACTCTGAGAGAGAACTAAATTGGCATATTGGGGGCAATTAAGCAGGTGGACAAATAGCTTAATTTGATTGAAAGTGGGGAGATTGGTGCTGCATAATGCTCTTTATCGTATGAAAGTCACTCATTTATTGGTGCATTCAGCTTGGGCTATTTGTTCACAATGAATGTTTTCAGATCAGAGGGTTCTGATGAATGGAGGAGTTGATCTCTGCTGCCATCTGCTGACCAGACTCAATGCATTGTCGGCATAAAATAATGCGACGGGGGGGTTTGTTAGTAAGTCCAGTGCGGCGTGGGGATAAACTTTAGCTGCTGACCTTATTCTGCCAATGGTGAGATTGTACAGCTGGATATGCTGAATGATCTCGTCCAGCAGCCGGTCAGTCATTGTGTCGAAGTCTGCAAAAGTGTCAGCCTGCAGGGGGGGCCGACTGTTAATCACCTGGAGTCTCGGCCCGTGAATTATTCACACATTGACATTGCCTTTGAAATCCGCTGCTCCAGGTAGTCAAATCTGAGCCGCGTAATTACTCTTGATGACATTACCGTGACTGCGTGAGGAATCGTGGAGTTATTTTTTACCAGGATCTGACCTTTAGCTCACACATAAAACAGGTTTCTAGGACCCACCCCCCTTTCTTTCACCTGCATAGCATCGCCAAAAGTAGGACTGTCCGGTCTCAAAGTGATGCAGAGAAAGTTCTATTGTAATTATTCAGTTACCCTCCTCTGAAAGACCTCTAGCTCATCCAAAATACTCACGTTCCATTTATAACCTCTCTTCATATACTCCCTTCTCAGGGTGATGTTTTAAAAAATCTGCTCCTTGCAGATAAAGCCATCAATGGTCAAGTTACCCTTACATGATTCACGATTCAATGTTGTTCCAACTGAGCACTTTGCTCTCAGACTGAAGGTCTTTGGTTTCCAAATATTATATATGGGAGGCAGATGCTTCAGTTATCAGACCCCTCTGAGTTCAACCAGAAGTCGGTTGGAGTTCAGGGAACAAGACACCCGTCCTGGCTTTAAGATTTTCCTATTTGATTGATCTCAGAGTTATGCATAGCCTTAGCATAGGACTCGGTTGCTAGAGGGTATCCGATAATGCATTTATTGATGGCCTGGTGTCTGTCAATGTCTGTCCTGTTCTTTCTCCCCATAAAATTGTCCAGACAGATGGCAGGCATTCTTAAATGTGCTTCTGCTGGATTTCTCTTCCTGTCATAACACAAGTTTTTGTCTCTTGTCCATTGCTACTATAGTACAGGGAACATCATACATACTCAACTGTACTTCAATTCCCTCAGATGGCTTCTGTTTTGAGATTTACACTGTTTGAATAAACTTTGCTAAAATTGATTTTCACGTGGCATCAAATGTACCTGGTTTCTTTCAGACATGAGGAAGTCGAGCCTGGATCCTGGCAGTCCCAGTTCAATAAACGTTTTGACCAGTCGAAGGTCTGCACTATTTCCTGCAAGTACAAATCACTTCTGGCTCAGTTTTTACAAGAAGTGTCTATTAATCATTTCAAATTTACCAGGAAAGCATTTTAAGAAGATGGTTTCCACATTATGAAGTGACATTTTAGTTTTTTATTACGATTGCAGCTCAACAGGAGCCTAAATGACAGAGGGGAAGAATAATAAGGAGGTGATATCAGACTGTAGAGCAACCTCACCGTCAAGCCCATGGACACACACTACAAGGTGTATGCCATCATCAAACTCCTCATCGTCCTCCTCAGGGGGGAAATAGGGCAGATCCGATGCCAGAAGAGGGAGGTCGCTGTACAAGCTGGCCTGGAAGCTCAAAACTTTGAGCAGGTCCTCTTTGGCCTTGTAGAAACTGCAGAAAAGCGGACGTTTACAGAAACATGAGAGACTTCTACACTTTACTCCATGCTAATTTTGATGGAGAACCTGTCTCGCATTTCTGTACTTGTATGATCTTAGATTCACTTTTCCTATTTGTAAGCATGGAAAGGCATTTCCAGGAAAGTCTCAAACTCACACATACAGTAAGCTTCTTGGACTCGCAGCCTGTCGTGCAACCAGGTTGCAGACTTATGCGCAGGAGTCATAACAAATCGGATTTCGGCTCATTTATTCACAGCTAATCATGATGGATTTGCCTGCGGACTCTTTGACTGGATTTAATACAGTCAGGAAGCGGTTTGCCTCTCGTCTAAAGTTCCATGCTTCAGTTTGTTTTGCTTGACTTTCCAAGTGTGTGTAACTGCCAGCCCCTACAGCAGATGTCAGCATCCGTCTCTGGATGCCCTAGAACCCCTTATTTACCCGTGCTTTTTCCAGCTGTTACGGAGTATGACCTCCCTCCTTTAAAGTCTCAATTATTTTGAAGAAAATATCTTTAGAAGCATTATTTATAGATGTCAAAGTGAGAGATGAGTTGCTAAGTCCAGAGTCAGACTTGTTGTCAAAAGCATTTTTCAGTCTTGATTTTGCTGAGAAAAAGGTCATAGAGAAATGGCAAGCGCTAGAAAAATAGTCCGTGGACCAGAGACTGACTGGAAGAAACTTTGTAGCTCCCCACTGCAGTTTAAACTCTGACACTTTGCCCCAGAGATCATCTACAGTACTTATGGTCTGCCCAGGGCCATTGCCGCAAACGCTGAGCTGTAAAACTGCAAATGTCATTATTTACCTTGAAACAAAAACTCATCTTTTTCCTGAACCTGTTTAAATGTATTTAATTTTATATAGTTTGAATGATTCTACCAGTCAAAGTCTGGTCATTTACTATCCGGCAGAGTATCTGGATTTTATTATCTGCAAGATAGAAATGTTTGACTAATAAAATGTTAGGTAGAAAACTAGCACCAGATACATGTTTGACACAAGTTCATTTTGCACTAAAAAACGAAAGGTTAGTTAAAAGATCTTGTCTGTTCAAGAAATACACGTGTTTGCTGCAATGAGTTGCAATATGTTAAAAAAGGAAAAGTGGAAAGAGGTCAATTGTATCTCTGATATTGGAGATAGTGTATTGTATTATTTTTCGAATCAAAATATTTTGAAAAAGCAACAATGAAAACATCTGTTTGTCTGTATATTTTAAGATACATTTGCTCAAAACAAAAATGTAGATGCAGCTTCAGTTCGAAATTTTAGCAGAAAAGTCAAAGACACTGACAGCAGATATACTCACTTTAGCATCCGTTCGTTGGTCTCTTCATCCATATTAAGCGGACTAAGCGAAGATGAGGAGATGATGCCAAAAGAGCCCAGGGGCTGATGGGTAATAGGTGAGGTAGCCTGGCGGGCAGATATTCCGCTGATGGAAGGCGAGTCTCTCAGGACGGAGGAAAACGGCAGACAAGTCGGGGCGCACGATACCGACATGTTCACCACCTCCACCATTTTCTTATTCACGAAGGCCAGTCCTGAGTTGGGGATCTTTGATGGTTTAGTCTGGGTGTCCAAAGGCCCCTTCTCAGAGGCTGAAGGACCACCCATATGACCAGGTGATGTTCCATCTATGGCTGCCAGACATGTGAGATCACTGGGCCTCTGAGCAATGGTAGCGTTGGTGTCAGGGTCATTGGTCTGCGTCTGCAAGGGATCCATGAATGCATGGTCCTCTGCGCCATGCGGCTCGACCCGCTGGAACCTTTGGCTTCCATCTAAAGTACTAAGTTCTTCCCTCTCTTCTGCGTTTTTACGCACAGATGGTTTGCTTCCACGGCTGCAGGGAACCGCTTCCGACTCAACAAGATGCACGTCTTCTACTGAGGTAATCTCTACACCCGTGTGTGTTTGGTGGTTGTTTTCCTCCTTCCGGCTGCCAGTAACAGCACTTTCCTTCACATGAGAGGTCTTAACAGACTCTTGTAAAAGCAGCCCACTGCTTGACACCAACTTGATTGTGGATGCCTCTGACAGGAAGTGCGAGGTCGATCTCTCAGAGCTGGTGTTCTCTTTACCGACATGGCAGAGATCTAAATCTAACTGGGATAATTCAGACTCATCTGCATCCAGGTTGCCGTTTAGAGAGCCGTTAACCCTAGATGAGTCCTCCTGTAGCACCGAGTTCCTCCTGTCTGTCTGCTGGTTGAGCAGCACGTGGTCTTCCTCGGTGTCTTCTGGGCTGCTGATCTGTGGTGCGGAGACCGACTTTGTCAGTTTGCTGAGTTGCCCCTGCTGCTGGTCCTCCTCGTAGGGCAACGAGCTAATCGAAGTCAGTGAGGCCTGGATGCCTCCGCTGGGAAGGCTTCCGTTGCTCTCCATCTGCAAGCCTTCCAGACAGCTACGGTGAACCAGGTGGTGACTCACCATTTGCTTTGGGATTTCCCGCTCGCTGGAAAAATCAAGAGACGGCCTGCCTCTCAGCGCCGCCTCCACAGGCCAAGCCACTGAGCTGGGCTCGCTCTCAATACCTGAGTCAGAGATGACGGAGGACGAGCGCTTCATGATCTTGGAGCCAGCTAAGCCTCCGCGATGCGTCATTTCTTTTCTGAGGTCCCCCAGGAAAGGATGTATAACTGGATGCATATGGGTAGTAACTAGGCTGTTTGGAGGGATATCCTCAGCCTCATCGTCCATGGAGTGATTTAAAGGCATGGCGATGTCAGACTCCTCTCCCTTGTTTTCGCTCTCATCTGTTATGCTTAGTTGTTCGGCCTCCCCAGGGTGGACGACATTTTCTGTTAAATCATAATCCGGGGACTCATCACCGCGGTTTGCAGAATCAGTTGGGGGATTGTTTGACGAGGGCATCGGGCTGACCTCTCCTCTGTATGGGTCCACATCGCAAGGATTTTCCCCTATACACTTCTTTCCAGAACTGTCCTCGGGGAGCTTCAAGTTTCCGGCCTCTTGTAGCGATAGCTCGGGACTGTGATTAGTCTGGACTATTTTCTGTGTATCTGTGAGGTTGATTTTGCTTTGCTCCGCCATGTACGTGGGCAGATCCATGCATTCATCCCCGTCCAAGGAAACCTGGAGTGCTGCTGGTGAGTTGGCTTCCTGGCTGCTCTGAAGAACCCTTTTGGCTGGAGTGATGCCGACATCCGAGCTGCCTTTCTCATCAGTGGTTTCAAGAGTTGGCACGTATGACACTGTTTCTGGGAAAACAAGGACATCCCACTTATAGAACAAAATGACACAATTAAATAAAGAATCATATTAGATCTATAAGATCTATTACTTGTTTGTGGAGACTCGACGTATCTGTCCTCAAAGATGATGGGCAGACTGTTCCAGTCTCCATCGATGTCCAGGCACTCAACAGGTAAAGGAGGCATTTTGGTCAAGTAGTCGGAGGTCCGCACTTCTGCAGCTATCTGACCGTGCCTGTTGATACTTCAGAAGGAGAAAAACATGATAATCAACACACTTCTCTTCAAGAGAAGTAAGTGTCTTTTCGGGTAGGTACTTACAGTTCCTCTTGAAATGTCAGAGATGTTTCTTTGGGGTGCTCAGTGAAGAAATATGCCTCTGAGAACCTCCTGACCTGGAGTTTCAAGAGGCATGCATAAAACATTTTCAATTCGGTTTTGTTCACAAATTCAAGTTTAAATCTAGCATTTTCTACCTATGTGCCTCGGAGATGTTTCATCCGTGAGAAGGCAAATCACCAGGAACACTGCCCATTGTGTACGTTACCTCCCACAATAACACTGTGAAACTTTTCATTGAAATCGTCATTCCCAAAGGTGGTATTGTGGTGTAACAGTATCCCCCTGAGGTAGTCTGAACTCTCCAGAAAAGGCATGCATTATTTTCAGTAAACATTGCAAGCTACTTGGGGAAAACTCAGAGCCAAGAGGTTGTTTATTTCTGTACACTTTAGAAAGTTTGTCTGCTTAGTTTTCTGTTTTACCACCGTCATTTTTGTGTTATAGCTGTTGGACTGCGCAGTGAAAGAGAAGTTAAATCTGTGGGGCTTAGATTTTTTTTGCTTTGGTCACATCAAAAGGTGAAAAAAAGGGCGAAATTTTGCTTAACATGACAGTAAAAAAACAAAATCATCACCAGGCCTTAAAATTAAGAAACTATTACTTTAAAACAGAACAGTATTTGGTGTATTATACTGTATTGTTATTCATTACAGAAAAACTCAAACAATGTGCAGAAGCAGTGGTTAAAAAAAAGAGCATCACCTTTAGTAACAATAACCTTAGTAAGTGTAAGCATTTGGTCCTGGTGAGCTCTTGACACACTTTGATTCCTCTTTTTTTTCAGATATTCTGTTGGAGATCTCCTGCTGTGTTTGGAATCATTTTCCTATTAATGAGCCATGTTCAGCCATGTTTTAGCTGTAGGACAGATGGCCTCACACTGACTCTGAATATTTTGGTATACAGAGTCATGATACAGTCATGATGGACTGTAATAGGTCCACGTCCAGGTCCTTTGACTGTAAAACAAGCCCAGATTCTCAGCTCTGATAAACGTGCCGCCTGTTCATTGTGACATCTCCACTTTAATCTTGCTCCAAGGATTTTAGTTCATTCATATTTGATGTTGTAAACTAAGCTACGCCTCGATCTTTTTTTCCTTCCAAACAAGCCACTTTTTTTTTTTCAAATTGTACTGCCACAAACATTATGACTGAACACGCTAATAGAAACCAGTAGAGGTGTATTCTATTCATATTTTATTGTGTGGGACTATAACCCTAAATTTAAACTGACTATGTTTCTGCTTTTGTAGTGGCACTCACACTTCGAAGAGATACTCAGCGCTTTTCAGATTTTGTGGCACATTTCTTGAATTTCATTCTTATGTAGACTTACACAACCAATGATGTTAGTTATATTTTATACACATAAAGTGAAACTATGTCTTTTTTATTTCTATTTCACAAATGCTCCTCTTTTATATTTTACCAATACTCTCAGAAAAATGTCATCCATCATGGAGAAATTTCGGAGCATGTGAAACTTTTTCCAAACCGTGCTAACAACATGCCTTAAACAGCTGCCTTTGGAGCTAAAATCTCTATGGCTGTGAATCCATTTCTGCCACATGAAGTTTCTTCCACAGAGATTAGAAACAGCAAAGTTTCAGCCTCTCTTAACTATTCTTATTAAAGAAACTGCAGCTGAGGGGAGACTTGGTTAAAAGGGACTGGTGTGACTTTTGAGGGTCACTCACCCTGAGCGTGTGGTGCTCCTGGGCCAGATATGACAGGATGTACGGGTTGAGCACAGCCGCCTCCAGGAAGTGGCTCCACAGCGCAGCCAGCTGTGTGCAGAGCTGACTCACATCCCTGCTGATCTGCTCCGCTACCTTCTCGGGACCTTCCTGCAGCTGAAACACATCCATTTTTCTGCTGTCACACAGAGCGCGGTGCATTCGAAAGCCCTCGAGGAATACGAACATCTTGGCCAATTTTACATTACAATATGGTTTTCCTCCTGGAAAATAGGCCCTGGCCATACCGAACCATTCTGAACCACGTTTAGATGATCATTCGAATACACCAGCAACCATAACCATGAATCATTCAGTTACAAGGATATGATCTATTCTTATTATGACGTTAGTCAGATTTCTTACTAAATGAGATCATCGCACATCCTTTGTGTTCATAAACTTTCATTCAGTCTTCAGTTTCATTTGCACAAATAAAGTTGGGCCCAAAACAGCCTCTAGCACTTACTTGTAATTCTATTGACAGCTGATTAAGTGTTTCTTCTATAGGCAGCATCTCTGCAGACAAAAGCAGAAAAAAGACAATATTAAAATGATTATTAATATGATTATTATTATTATTATTATTATTATTATTATTATTATTATTATTAACAAATGCATGGGAGAGATTTGGTGAAAACTTTGCATGTCTCAGCATGGTGTGCAGTGTGTCCCTAAGAAGATGGATTAAATGGGCAAGTGGGGGGGGTTTCATAGATAGTATCAGGCCTGTAAAACTCTCAACAGCATAGGAAACGCATTAGAAAATTCTGTCAATCAGAGAAAAAAAAACGTTCTACCTTAGACTCAACACTGAAACTGAGAGATGCACCTGGACCTCTTCTATCAAATTCATGAAAGTCTTATCAGAGCATGGAAGGGTAGCCTTTTAGAGGCTACATATGTATAGCTATTAATTTTGCTAGTAATCAAGACCTTGATTAGTTTGTGTAGCCCTTAAAAATTCAGGTGGCAACTCCAAGGGCTGCAACTTAACTTGTCTTTATTTTAAATGTTTACTTTTACTCCACTGTTCAGCCAATACTAATGGAAGTTTCAGGATCTAAATGAAAGGGCATCTGGCTGGACTTAAAAAAGGAAGCATTTTATGAAACAATAAGCAGTACAAATCTGTTTAATCTCCTCACTTTAGCTGGTCCAAGTACAAAAGTTTTAATCATCATCCTTGATAAACATTACAGAGAAGAGTAAAATAATCATAAATATGTTTACTTTTTCCGATAATAGTATCTGTATTTGTCTAAATCTCATTTCAATTTAAACAAATGGAAAATCTAGTCCCTTTTGGAACTGTGCAAACATTTCTTTTGTGTAACTGGACATTAAAAGAAATGAAGATGCCCCAGCTGCAGAATTTCTATCAAATAGAGCACAAAGCCTCACCTGATTCCAGTGGAATCTGGTGGAGCTGTGGGATGGCGTCCATCAGAGCGGTGCAGTAGGCGTGCAGGCCTTTGTGCGCGGCCAGCAGGAGGCGACAGAGCCGCCGGTGCCACGTATGAGCTCTCTGCAGGCAGTTTTCACTGGGCACGTAAAAACTTCCCTGCAGACAAGCAGACGTAAAACAAACCTTGGCTGTCATATATACAACACCAATGAAAAAAGACCTTTCTAAATGAAAGACATTTCCAAAAAAACTGAACCTCGCTTCCTCCTCCATCACAGTTGTGCCCACTTGTTGGTAAGGGGAACTTGTTTTCTGCATGTGCACTAAGGCGCAATAATTACTTGGAGGATCAGATATGCTGTTACAAACAACCAGGCCTTAAACGCAGCATGCCATCTGCTGTAAAGGCAGATCAATGCTTTTACGTGGCCACGTCCCTACAGAGAATGCCCCTTTATGACCTTTTAAGAGGTCATAAAGGGGCACTATGGAGTATGGAGTACACAGAGCATCTAGCCTGGGGACGGAGAAATAATAAGTACACATAACTGCACTGAAACGCTTTTTTTTTAGCAGGCGTTTGATGCTGAACTGTGACTGTTTGTCTGATTTAAGGGTAGGGAAAATTCAAAGAATTGCAACTGTGATCCGAGGAAGACCTGTAATATAGACCATGTTTCCAGCAGATGGCTCCCTAACAGTGGACAACAAGCACGAGCTGATGCCATTTACAGTTTGCATTGAGTGGAAAGCAGCGGAAGCCCCAAATCCTTGATGTCATAATCTTTCATTTCATTTAGCTAAAGGCTCTCGACCCATACACCAATTAATGCACACATCAGCTTTTACAGTATGGACTCCAGGGAGACTGATGTTTGTCTGTGACCACTGATCCTTGACCTGGAACTGCCATCTGTACGTTCTTCCCGTGGCTGGGATGTTTTGGCAGAGCCCTGCAAAGCATGTAATGCCTGAGTAACTGAGGATGTACTGTAATTTGCCCCGAGCATGTAAAGTCACCGGCCCTATCATCATAGCTACGCACACTCTGTAATTGCAGCAAACCAGGAAGGAACATCTGTATGTTTACTTTCATAATTCTTGTCAGCTTTATGGAGACCGGCTGGGATCAGTCTGTGAGCAAGGCACTAAGAAAAATAGTTATTTTTCTCTATAGACCAGTCATTATCCAAAAAGAAAACAGTTTATTTTTGAGGTGCAGGTGACCTGGCATATTTTTGCTTCTGTTTGGTGCCTCAGAGTTATGGTCGCAACATGAACTGTTACCTGAGCATCCAGTTACTACTGCACAAGTTGAAAAGAACTTGTGTCGGACATGATGAGTGGAAAAGCGTTTTGATTCCAGCTCATTTTCCTGAGCATAATTTCTAACAGCATGTTTCCTCAGAATACCATTTATTTTACCTTCTACCTTCATATTTTTCGTGTTCTTACAAATCATGATGCTTAATTAAACTAAAACAAAATGGGAAATGACGGTGTTTAGGAGGGAAAACGCTGAAAACGGAGTCCAGCCCAAGTGAAACGTTTAAATAAATAACGGTAAAGGAGGAGCTGTATGTACATTTCACCTGCAGCTATGTGGTACGTGGCGCTTGTGAGTAGAACTCATTACTGTGATCAAACGAAGCCCCCCTGCCTGGCTAAACGCAGGGCTTATTAAAGCGCCCAGCCGGGGTTGGGAGTAAAAACCAGGAGGTGGAGCCAGAAGGGCGTTGGAGGGGGTTGGAAAGCTCATTACGATTTACAGTGCAGACTATTAGGGACCATTAGGGATGAAGAAAAGGCAAAAAACATTTGACTGGGAACCTTACAGCACTATGTTAGCACAACTGGTTCATTTAAAAGGATGACTTATTCAATTGTTTATAAATTAAATACATTTTTAGCTATTTTGCTCAAAATCCCAACAAATGCCATCTCACAATACCTTAAAGATAGAGAAGAAGAGGCCACCAATACACCATTTGTCCAGGTAATTGTAAGTATTACAGTATATTTGTAAATATCATGCACTCATTCAGCTTTTTTTCTTTTTAAATCTATAAAAAAATTGGCATCATAATAGAATAGGACTATTGACTACAGTTTTAAAAGCAGACATTCTTACTGTAATCATTATCTCGTAGATATATTATAATCAGGTGCTGAAACTGGCTAACAAGCTTAAACGAATGAACCCATGCCTGTGTGTAAGTTTTATGTTACATTATATAGACAAAATTGGAACATTAACTCAAACCACCTGTGAGCTAAATTGAACTAAATTGCAAGAAGCGCATTATGGCTAGCTAACATTAACACAGTAAGGCAGCTAAATGCTCATAAACCATTATAAAACAGCAGCTAACAGCTAAGCTAATGTTAAAATGAAACAACTGTTGAGCTAATGGCAGCTAACTGCTTAGCTAATGTTAAAATGAAACAACTGTTCAGCTAATGGTCGCTAACTGGTTAGCTACTGGCAAAATAAGAAGGCCAACCGTTAAGCTAATGGCAAAATAAGAAAGAGTTCAGATAATGGCAACTATCTGGCTATCTCCTGGTGAAGTGTATATATACACATATACATATACATATATATATATATAAATAGTAACTAATGTCACTTAACTAAGCAGGTAGGCTACAGCAAAGAACATTTAACTACTATTTGCCCAAAGAAAGAAAGAGTCTGAAATATTAGTGACCATAGTTATTCTGGCTGATATAACTTTCCATAGTTAAACTGTAGAAGATACTTCAGATTAATACTGATTTTAACCACAGTTATCACCTATGTCACTGTACACCTGCATCTTAAGCACTGTAAATGCGTAAAGAGACAGGAGATACAACACCATCATTTCCTGTGACAGCTCCTGTGGCTGGACTCAACATGTCTGGTCACGTGGGTTAGTTCGATATTCAAAGGCCACCATGCTGCAAAGTGGCCTCACGTTGTGAACGGCTGAAGAACTGCGTTTTTTAAGCTTTCAAAATCCATAAGAGCCCTAGAAAATCACTGATGATGAGGGGCAAACAGGACTTGAGCATGTAATCCAGATCAGGTCAATCTCTTTAGTTCGGAATCCTAATACCACTCCATAACATGCCAAACAAATGAATACATCCAGTTCTTTGCTTGGCATTTGCTTTTGATTAAAGTCAAATGCCAAGCAAAGTGGTTGCTTAAAGACCAGGGACAACTGTTTGGTTTGGTGAGGCAAAATGGGCTCTGCTAAAGGTTGACATACCTCAGAGATGACAGGCTTGCAGTAACCGGCTCCAAACACGAGGTTCTCCACAGATACAACAGATGGCTCGCTCACACTCTCTGGCGAGCCCTTCCCCAGCCATGAGCCCTTCCCTGTACGTGCAAAGCTGGCGAGAGAACAGGGAACAGACACACAGGGACAAACCATGAGTGTCTGTATCTGCATGAGGGGAGAGACAGATAAGCTGAGAGATCAGGGCTGCTAATGTTCCAATCAATCAAGTGCTGCCGTAATCTGCGTAATGCAAGTTTAGAATTTTCGAGTAGCTGAATTTATCAGGTAAGTGCCGGGGAAAACGTACATTAAAACATCAAGATTAAAATGGCTGTGCCAGTTGTTCGTTCCCGAGTCTCTGTCGGTTTCCTCTGGAGACATGACTTTAATAAACTTTTCAAAAACAACATTTTTCAACCAAAGAGCGCTGATCTCATGTGTTTTTTCCTCCTCTAATAGCATTTGCAACTTTAACCATTACCAGGCACAGCAGAATTTCCAAGCCTTAGGTTAAAAAAGCGTACATTCAGCTATTACAAAACTAAAACCTAGCAGTTAGTCTGAGTACATTTATCGTTCTCTCTCTTGGCCTTTTCCACACAAACAAGTATTTTGAAAAAGGATGTAAAATATATTGCACATATTCTTAACATAACATCTTTACATAACGTGGTGTAATCCCTTAAAAAACTGTACCATGTGATCACTAGTACAGTCTGTAATTTGTATCTGACATGGCTGACGGGTCATCTCATTCCAGCCGTCTTTTCCTCAAAGTGTGGCTAAAAGCAGCCCATTCAAAGCCAACTGAGGCAAAAAGTATTGCAATGAACTGGTTTCATTGTGAATCCTCTCAAACAGTCTGAGGTCCAGTGGGGTCTGGCCTAAAAAGCTGGCGGCCGACTCCGCAGTGGATTATGTGGCACCTAATTTGGATGATGTTCATAACCCATTCTAGCAACTAAAACAATGAAAGAGGCTTTATCTATATATATTTGCTAGGGCATACCCCATTGACATGCCAAAAAAAGAAGAAGAGGCTACCAGGACCATCAGCTTGAACTAACCATTGATCGCACCAGGCTTGAGTTCTTTCAAAACTCAAAATGGTACAGCTAAGCGTGATGTTTCAGACTGTGACTCAATTTGTGGGAGTCTATTGACAACTGTCAATACGATTTCCCAATGAGATTCTGTGAAACACATCAACGTTTAGAGGGAACTTCATCCGGGAAAACATTTCTCATAGACCTAAAGTGCTAAGGTTAGCTTAATTTGCTACTCGACTATAATGGCTGTGACTAAGTGTGGCTTTCTAATAAATATCAAGAAAAATGGCAAGAATATTGCTTAAATATGGATGTCTGCTAAATGTTTACTTTTTGGTGTTGTCAAATCTATAAGCCGTGTATTTTGTTTTAATTAATTCTTAATACTGCAGGTAGCATGTATTATAAATGCCCTATGTATTAATAAATAAAATGTATGACTATCACGGACTGTAAATTTATATATTAAAATTAATCTTTAAAAACCCAAGACATTTCCTTTTCCTTTAAGGAAAATAATATGTAAAAAATAACTGACCAAATGCCCCATATATCACATATAAAACAATATTTTGAGGTACCACCACCAAATGTCAAAGATCAATTGTAAGTATAAGTTCATGCCAAACTTTATTTATTTCTTAGAATAACATCAAAAACACATGTTTATTTAGTGTGTGTGTGACGTGTATAAGTACAACCAGCAGTACCTGATCAATGGCTGATGTAAGGCAACCAGTGAAGCATGGATGGAGACAGAGATGACCGACAGGTGGAAATAGTCGAACATGACGGGGACGTGGTGGTGGAGGCCTCGCCGCGGATTGAAATGGAGGTTTAGGGTCCGACTGCTGATCAAAGGAACCGTCAATATCTCTGTCAACCTGAGACAAAGAAATAAGACATATGGGTGTGTCAGGATTCAAACATTAGGTAAGGAAATAGTGGAAATCAGTAAAAAGAACAACGGATGGTTTAACTGAAATGGTAACACCCTAAACAATGTTTGCTGATGTAAAATTACAATAAAAAAGCCCCTTCAGTCTGCAAGATTAGTGCATAGTGGCTCACTTTCAGAGATATGCTGTATTTGACTTCTGGCAGACTTTATCTTCTTTTTTTTATCAGAAGTCTCACTGCTTTCAGTAATAATCAAATATCCTAATATTATTTAGTTCAAACAGACAGCACCAAAGTATAAATATCTAGATTTAAAAAAGGACTTTTATCTAAAATGATGTTGAGATAAGGGTACTTCAGTAAGTTTTGCAAATGTCATGAATTAATATTCACAATAGAGCACAGAAATTTAAATCCGGTAATTGATACTTTTTCATGAAAGATACCGTATTTCCACAGTTTGAGTTTGATGGCATCGGTAAAACGATGGGTCTCTTCTTATAAAGGTAATTACAGGGCCATGTTTATCACTCTATGATTATCAGTGATGGAGATGTTGTCCAATTCTTGATTCAGCCTTTAAGAGTCTATCCTCTCAAAAGCTCTTGGTCTACTTTCCAGCCAATGTGTTTTGAATGGTGATAGTTTTGGACTGTGGGCAGGTCACTACAGTATTACATTATCTAAAATAGGCAAGGCGATCTTAGGCACCATCTGGATGGGAGTGTATCTCTGTCAAACCTGCCACCATTCCGTATTGATAATGCTTTTCCAGGTTTGACATTAACTTATCCCACAGGCATGAAGGCATCTCCACACCATCAGTATTCAGGGCTTTGAATTGAGTTTTGGTAACTAGTTGGATGACCAGCTCTTTAGTTGTGTTGTCCGTGATTTGGAAACTATTTAAATTTTTATTTTACTGGTGGATCGTCCAGGGTGTACCCCGTCTCTCAGCCATTGGCAACTAGAATAGGCTGCAGTACACCCCCCCCACCCCCAACCCATTTGGGAATAAGTGGTTACGAAAATGGATGGACAACTGAAGTGTTACCCAGTCCATTTGTCACAATGTTGCATGCAGTCCTACAATACACATACAGTAATTAATTTTGTTCCTGCTGCAGGTTTTTCTAAATCTTTTCCCAATGAATAACGGATAACATTTTCAAACACTGTGCAATTTAACCTTGAAGAAAAAATTTGGGATTTTTTATTCATTTTCAGATGTTGTGCTCATCTTTACTAATGAAAGTCTCTGCCTCACTAAGGTGCTCTTCTTATGGCCAGTCATGTTACTGACCTGTCGGTAATTAACCTTTTTAGACCCTTCCAGTGGCTTTCTTGTTGGTAGCGCTCATTTATCCTGTCTTTTGTTTGTTTTCTGTGCTCTTTTGTGTTTTGGTTTTTCAGATTTACAAATACCTGCGATCTATTCTTCTTTCCAAAAAAAAAAAAGAAGAACAGATTTCAGTTATACTGTAATGGTGTACTACTGTTATAATTCTAAAAAGAAAAAGAAATGCCGTATTGACATATTTTCTGCCTCATAAGTCTTACTTGTGTCTTGGAAACAAACACAAAAACAGATGTGTCAGAGCTTCTTTTTTTTGTGTGTGTGTGTGTCAGAGCGTGTGAAAAACCTACTGCTGCTCGTTGTCGGTGAAATGAAGATCCAGCTTTAACTGAAAGTCCACCTCACTGAGGGCTTCCTCCAGCTGCAAAAGAACAGAACAGTACCGTTTAGATGTGGAAACAGTTCGGGAAAAAATGTGACAATCAACAAAAGGTGTTCATTTTGAAACAGGCAGACCAAAATTACACAAAAAAATAGCAAGAAATTACCTATGTTTAGGTACTATAGGGATCAGGAGATTCTTCATTAGGTACAAAGCAAGTATTAGAATTTAAGTGCTTCATTTCTGAATTTAAGGAATCATTCACTGAGTCTGGTCCTTTTTTATTTTTTGTAGTCCAAATTTATGATTTGAATGAAGCCTTGATTTGAATGAAAAACTAGCAGCTAGCCTTCCATGCCTCCTGTATCTGTGGCTAAAACTAAGACAATGAGACTAAAACAATGGTTTCACACACATATGCATGTTTATAGTTTGGGAAATAAGTCAGGTTAAAAATGATGAAAGTTGACGAAAAGTAATAAGACAAAAAATGTTTTAAAAGAAAAGTTTTGTTTGATTTCCATTATAAGTCTATGTAAGACACTTTGGATGGAAATAGAAAAAAAGAAGTGTTGCAGACATTGTTTTATGGCAAAATCCAACAAATTCCGGTCATAATCAAGTTTGTCATGAGATATTGATTTCTGCAGGACTATTTTTGGGTTGTTCCAGTAAAATGTTTGTCATTGTGATTTATGGATTTTTGTAGCTTGTTTTGCTTTCTGTGGTTTAGTGTCTGTCTTGGCTACTCTCTGGTTTCTTTTTTTTAAGTTAGCTTTCTTTGCCATGGTTCTGGTTTCATGTGGAGTTTGCCTGTTTTATCCCTGTGATGGACTGGTATCCTGCCTCCTGCCTGTTTCAGAAATAATTAAACTATACAGTGATATTAGATAATGACTGTGTATGAAAAACAAAAAAAAAAAAAAACAATTAGCTAATTGGAAACCCATTGCATCTGTGACCTCTTAAGTCATTTGTGATAAAGGCATTCGCCTGCCATCATTCTCTATCTATAAAGTGCATTTCAAATATGAAGTGATGAATCAATAAAGTCTTCCAGCCATAAGTAAATAAGGAGATGCATTTGGCGCTGTGCTTTTGGCATGGAGGCTAACCTCAGAGTGGTCTTATTTGCAATGCTGATTTAGCCTCTTCAGTATTCTTTTCATGCCTTATATTTATTTATCTCTTTTCATCTGATATAAACTGAGCTTGGCTGATTTATGCTCATCTTCAAAGTGCCTTGGATATATAATAGCATAAATTTGAACAACAAAGGCGGAAAAAGAAAAGCTATGAGCTAACTAAAGAGGCAAAGGTGTTAGCGGCTGCATCAACATCTTTTGAAGACTGTAGGGCAGATCATTAGAATGGCTGAGGTTAGCCCCAGCTCTTCTTTATTCCCCGTTATGAGCTTAAACATACACTCACGGTTAGTGTCTGCATGTTAGCATCTCTGCCGAATTCAAATGGATTCAAATTGATTAAGCATAACAATTAGGAGGGCTATTTTTGCCTGTACTATCTGGAGCTGTGAGGACCAGATAACCTCCGGAAGGTTAATGAGTAGAAAGCCTTAGGGAGGGCTTCCTGATTAAATCTGATACGCCTTTAAGATCCTCTGTCTCAACACCTCCGCAGAACGATCTATGTCTAAGGAAATCTTCTAAAATTAGAAGTCAAGAGAGACACTGAATGCTAACAGAAGGGATCCTTAACCAGGCATACATGGCATATATTGGCATTGCTTTGAGACCGGTTGAGTGATGCTTTAGGATGATTCATAATAGTTGAAAATGGGGATCAAATTGACAATTAGCTAAACTCCCACACTTGCCGGCTTTAGGCCAGTTCCATAGCTGCCAGCAGTGATGGATTCCTGACACAAAGCGGGCAGGGCGGTGTTTTTCTCAGGTTGTATCACATCAATACCTGTCTGGCGTGTTTACACCCCTGATCATCCGAGCTAAATTTAGTGAGTGTGGGACATGCGCGTTTTGTCCGTGTCTGTGAGCCGGCGCCATAATTCCAACAGGCAGGCCATTGATTGTCATGCTGATTGCGAGTCTGTAAGAGCAGTGTAATTTGAAAAGCAGATAAAAGCTATTTTATGTGCAGGTTTAAGGGGACCAAAATCCAACCACATCTTACAATCATCTCAACAACAAACTTGACCTGTAATTGCCAAAATTGTCAGCTTTGTCACACTGTCAAATCAAATCCATAAAAAAAACAAAAAAACAAACAAACATAGGACAGAAGCGTGTTCTTGTGTGCCATGTCAAATTGCCATTTCCTTACAGAAACCCAAAAGGGACATATAGTATAGAGGAAGAAATCTAAAAAGAAGATGAAGACAAGTGTTGTAGATTTGAATTAAGATATATCAATTTAGCAAGTTTTTTGCTTCTGCTTTAAGGAAGTTTTTCCTTGCCTGTGTCGCCTAGTGCTTGCTCATGGTGGGAATTGTTGGGTTTCTGTAGTTAACTTCAGAGTAGGGTCTGACCTGCTCTGTTTGTAAAGCGCTGTGAGACAACTGTTGTTGTGATGTGGCCCTACATAAATAAAATTGAATTTAATTGAATTGAATTTAAAAATAATATGTAGAATTAGAATTTTTAAATGTTCAATTCTTGTTTTTTGAGCACTTATCTTTGGTTACTTGCACTGACTTTCGACCACATGCAGCAGGTTACAGAGCTCTGCTTTTCTAATCCATCTTAAACCGCATTTGAAAAGTATGATTTTACCAAGCATGCATTCGTATGTGTGTGTGTGTGTTTGTGTGTAAATGTTACAAGCGTGACTCACCCTTTCTCCATCCAGTAGCAGGTGGATTTTGAAGGTCATACTGTCATTCACCGTGATCTCCTCATTTCTGTACAGGATCTGAAAAATCCGGCTGAAAACGGCGCCATCGTAAACCCCGGAAGAGTTGAAGCTGCATTCTCCTGATGGAAAGGGGGGGGGGGTAAATAATTAGTCACGTTACTTTGTGTGCCTTTTTGACTCCATACATTGATATCCACTGGCTCTATGTAGTGAGAAATCAAACAGCCTGAGATGAAGCAGACCTCAGTGAGGACACTGGTCACCTTAAACCAAAATGGGAAGAACCATTAAGTCAGCAATCAAATAAAAATCCAATCTTTTTGGATTGTAAGTTAATGGTACGCATTTCCAAACATTTTATGTGGACGCCATACTCTTCTTGGGTCTCTTACACAACAACCCAACGATCACCATCTAAAAACACACACACACACACAAATAAACTCTTGTGTAGCAAAAACTATCAAATAGAGCATTTCCAGACAAGATGGTACTTATTGTTACCTACCAAGGTTCAGGACAGTTTTGTTTTCATTTTATTTTTTTTATCTAAGGACCCGGTTGGAACATCCGAACACAACCTACAGCAAATGTTGCTGATATTGTCGGTACCCCAGAACAGAGTTTAGAGCATGAAAAAGGCTTTCCAGAAGACAGTGAGGAGATAATAAATAGACAAATAGACACTTTTACTGGTTTCACAACGTTTCAGAGGCTCTGACAGCCGAGTCTTGTCGGCTACACCAACAAAAGCTCTTTGTGGACATATGATACCTGACGATAATAGCTTCACTCATGTGTTAAAGCCAAGATGTTCAATAATTAAGACGCTGGTCAATTTGGTGCTCATCGCTCTTCATTCAGACATGACCAGAAACTCACAAAGATGGTGTGCTATTGGAAAATGAAGAACGTAACTGTCCAGTTCTATGACAGGGGTGTTAATGGTTTTTAACATGTTAGCCTAGGTCGTGGCTTAGAAACTCCAGGCTAAAAATAGCAGTCTGTCCACTGGCTATTGGACAACCTTGGTTTTGACATTGCACATCCACTGCTCCCCAGTTAGCTCATTGACTGGCAGCCATTTTCAGAACAGAGTCCCATAATGCCAGAGTTTTTTGAGCATTTTGACTGATTTTTCATGAGCCACAAAATAGTTTGTGCTATGACTATGTAAACACCGAACACACCAAAAGAAAGAGTAGACTCTCTTGTTTCATCAGGAAAAATCTTTTTTTTCTACCTTATTCCGTTCTTCCTGGACTTGCGTCTCACCGGCGACATGTTCTCTCATAGAACCGTTCCCTTTTTCTTATTTGCCTACAGTCTATGCTCATCTCCCATCAAAAGTGGCACTGCCCCCTAGAGGCTCAATTTGTTACTACATACTCTGTCTAGAAGCCCATATTTACGGACAAGCTTTAGCAGATCGTCCCCCAGCCACTCGCGTTGAAAAACATAAAAGACATCTATAAACGTCTTTGGCAGCCAATGAGTTAAGGACAGGAGCAAGTTAAGCACCTTCCTTGGAGAATATGGATGGTGGTGCATGGAAAGTTCAGCGTACATTATTTTATTTAAAAGGATTTAAAAAAATCTTTCTATTTACATAGTGAGGACACAGGGAAACCACAGTGTTTGGTGTGTTTGAAGCACATTTGAAGCAAAATACAAGAGTTTGGGAGGAAAACTTGCAGAAGAAAATAGCATAGTTCTGTGGGGTTGACAGAAACAAGTAGCATCAACATCGGAGTCAATGCCCATGACAGATAGCAATACAGATGGTGGAGTTTTCTCTGCTCTCTATTGAGTGTTTTGACAAAACAAGAATATTTGTGTTGTCCAGTGTCCATTCAGCATGTACAGCATTTTTTTTAAAAATCTATCACGCTTCTATTTTTTAAATTATACTATATTATTGTTAGGTCAAACCTTTGGTTTATAGACATTTTTCTTTGATTGGATCTTTAAGATCCCTGTGGTAATGCCAGTGTTATTACACAAAACCTGCACAATCAGCCATTGTCCGCTGTTCAGTAACGAGGTACAAAAGTAACAGATATTTAAGGACGTGCAAAGGAGTTTTTATTTTTTTTTTTACAATCTACAGTGGTCTTTTTATCAAATGCATTGATACTAACAAGTGTGGAGAACCTTACACCTTCAGATGAGATGTTCATGTTAAAAGGCTTGTTCGTTAATTATCGCCGTTGGATCATTTCAGATTTTTTTATTCATAAGAAATTATTGCTTCAGTGATCCAGCCCTCTTGAGATCAAATTATGGTAGGCCTTCTACTGAAAATGAGTGTGACACCCTTGTTTTAGAACAGTTTTTTACATTAGCATGCCTAGCATAGCTGAAAGTATTCCTTTATGAAAAGTTTGAATCTAAAATATATAATTTCATTAATGGTACTGAAGCAGTTCAAAATGATGCGGCTTTTAAAGTAGTGCATATATATCATTATCCTTAATACTCTAATCTCAAAATATTAATTCAACTGTTATGACCTGAGTTTTGGTTTTGTTTCTTACTCAATCCTTTGTCATACCTTGTTTTAGTCTCTGGTCTCCTTTCCTCATCTTGCTCCTAGTATGTTTCTTTGTTATCTTAGTTTTAGGTATTGTTTTGGTTTTTCCCAGCTTAGTGCCTTATTTTTTGGGGGCTCCCACCTGAGTTTCCCTCCTCTGTCCCGCATTCGGATCCAACCACCAACAACGTGACAGAAACCTAACTCACTCAGACACGGTGCAAATACGTTCAGATGCCCTCTGAGCTCTGATCCACAGAGCAGTCTATTTGTTGGTGCCACGCAAGGAAACAGGAAATGGGAAAGGAATTGGAAAGAAAAATGCACAGGCAGTAGTTAGAAAGCAAATTATTCATGGTTACATATCCATTGTTTGTATGCACAATAATGTTAGAATGTAAAACACACTGTTTTAGTTTTTTCTATCTTTTTTGAAAGAGAACATTTTGAAATAGACTGCATTTGGATATATAATAAACCAAGACATTCTATTGTTCTGCCATTGTTTTGCGTGCTGCGGCACTTTCTCTGAGCGACGCGTTCTCCCCCCCCAGGACTGCAGTCTCTGTGGTAGAAGCTGCCAGAGGCCGTTCCAGTCTCCTGCTGAGGTTATGCTCTCTTCCCCTCCATACTTATTCTTTATCTCCCTCTCTCTGTGGGCTTCTTAAAGCCTGTCAGTACGGGCAGCTGGAGGCAGGGCAGCGGGATGATTGATGTGAGGGTCAGTGGCTTGTCAAAGACTCCGTGGATGTCTCTTAGAGTCAATTCAATTTTTTTCTGGGAACGCTTAGTGAGGGATTTTATCTTTGGGTAAGCTCATTATCTCACTGTCAATCTAAAGGAACAATTATTTAAGTTACATTATGTTATTAATAAATATTAGATATCAAATATTCTAAACATAACATAATAAATAGTATGTTATTATTTACAATATAGATTTGACTGTGTAACAATGCTCTTCCATGCACCAGTCGGACTTGTAGGATGGCTTCTATCTGTGCATTGACAGAGACTTTAACAGTAATATTTTTGTTGGCAAGTTCATTCCATTGGCCTGACAGTTTTAGTCTAAGCGATTCAAGCTGGTTTATTAACATATATCAGCTGTGACCCAAGTAGCAAAAAACAAATTTTATTACAAAATAAAAAAAGCTTCCCTATGGGTCCAAGGAATGAACATGAATTAATATGTAATTAATATTAATAGTATGAAGCAGAAGACTAATTTGACAAGGTTCAGAGCTCTTTATTGACCTATGCCTCCTTAATTCTGTCTAAAATCTGTGATTAGATATTATTAACTCTGCTGTGTGTTGATTCAGTCTCAAACCTACAGGTGGTTTTGCACCTGTACCTCCTCAGAGCGGTATGGTGGCCAGGAGGGGCCAACTCTGAAACAGCTTTTACAAAACATGAGACAAAAAATTGGATTTCACTGAAAAAAACATTATTAAATCTACTTCACGTTACCAAAAAAAGAAATGCTGTGAAAACAACAGGACTTGATTAAAATTTCCCATCTCCAAAATCCATGCTGCATGTTTGATACTTTAAAAAAAATCACAATTATTTAAGGACGACTTGTGTCTGTTACATTGTGAACAGTCGACTGAACTTGAGCACAAGATAATCCAAAACCATCCGTTTTTTTTGTGTGGTTGGTTATAAAATAAGCTATTTGCAGTATTAATATAGAGGGGTTTCTTACTTCATCCAGGCGTCACCACAGAAGAAGAATCTGTTACTTCTTATTAGCATTCTTACTTAAAATCCTCCATAATATTGTGTAATAAAAGCCAATGCATTAATCCTGTAATGCCAAACGTATCATATTTGATACATACGGTTTCTGAAATGTTTTGCGTCTGAAACCTTTTGTATAGTTTAATGGTAAAAACTTTGCTCAAAATCCTATTGAACACAATCAGATACACCTGATAACAGGGGGCAGAAGACTACACAAAAAATAATCTTGACCTATCGCATAGTAATAAATTATTAATATTAAAAATGTATTTCCGATTTTTCTTTTTACATATTTTGTTAAAAGGCCAAATAAAGACTTAAAACATAAAAAGTAATTTTCAGGTTTTTTTTATTCTTGGATCAGGCTTTAAAGGGTTAAAATTTTCAGTGTAGTTAGAGGCGTTATCCTTCTTTTTTTTTCTGGAGGGAACACTGGAGGATTATTGACTGAGTTCGATATAATGAATGCTGGTTTGTACTTTTGTGTTCAGGATTGGATGAGAATAGTAAGCACACTGTTAGAGCCATATAGATATTTTGTTTTATTTTCTGCTGATTAGAATAATTTAATTGTGACGAATGTAGAATGTTTAGTTTACTGATAGGCATTTGGGTTTATTTTGTATTGTTTTTCTACATTTGATATTTGATATACATTTTTATGTGGCTCCTTTGTCCTGTTTAAGTAGCGAAAGGTGCGCAGGTTTGTCTTTTACAGTGCGCATGCGCAGAGTACAGGAAAAAGGTTATAGAGCAGGACGAGGAGCAACAGTTTTTTGACCGTAAGATTTGTTTGGTTTTTACTTACCGTAAGTTTGACTTTTTGCTTTATTCTTA